TTTTTTAATTCTTTGCTTCCTTTTGACTATTAGCAACATACTATGCTTAATTTCTATGTGGTTTTAACTAAAAAAATACTTACTTATCTTTAACAATAAAAAAAAGTGGATCAAGTTTTGAAGCAGTGTTTGATATATATTAATTCTTTTGTCATTGGCAAAGTTTGTATATAATAATTTAGTATACTCTTCTATTCAAAAAATATCTTTCTTTTTCATTTATGATTTTCATCCATGATTTGATATTATTGACTTTTCAAAATTTGATAATCTTGTGGCAAAAGATTTGGTAAATTATTTGTGAAAGTTACATATAACAACAAAGGTGTATTTAAAAGGAGCTCAAGAATGACAAAAGATCAATATGAATACATATTACAAGGAACAACTACAATTCAATATAGATGACAAGGTATGGTTATTCCATTGTAATATCAAGACTACTCATCCTTGTGACAAGTTGGACTATTGTAGGCTTAAAGCTTTTTCAATTTGTGAACAAGTCAATCTTATTGCTTATTGATTATATCTATTAGAGCTTATGAAGATCCATCATGTATTTCAAGTATCTCTTCTTGAACCATATAAGATAGTGAATATCTTGAAAAGAAGACAAATTTAACCTCCTCCTAAAGAAGTGAATAACAATCAAGAATTTGAGATAGAAGAAATCATAGATTTGAGGTGGTGCTAAAATAGGTTGAAATATCTTGTTCATTGGAACAAATATGATAATAATGAACACATATAGGAGTCAACAAAGAATCTTGTAAATACAATAAAGAAAGTTGAGACTTTTCATCAATAATATTCATCAAAAATAAGATAAAGAATAAAAAATCTTTATTATAAAAGAAATAAGATCTACAAAAAAATAGCATTCAATCTTTCACCTTTGTTTGTAGCTTCTCTGTATTTGTGACGTTAAAAAGATGGAAAATCAATAATCAACAAATTTAGCTCAAGACCTTTGATTTGTTAACTTATTAGACAAGATATTATGATTATTACAATCTTTAAGATGACATAATCAAGATGAAGATTCTCAAGAATGACATATCTTTCTTCAAATAGATGATAAAATATAATATTTTTGGTATTATGATGTTCGAAAAGTCTCCTCATGTTTGGTGATTTTACTAGAGGTAGAAACAAGTCCTAACGATATTCCAAATGTTTTATTTGAAAGAAGTTACGAAAGCCTCAACAATGACAAAATAATAGAATAGTCTTTCTACCTTAATATCATACATTATTGATGGCTAAGAGGACCTATCAACTATCTTTAAAGAGAATAAAGATTAGAATATGTTGCAAACACAATTTGCCACATCTTGAATTTTTTCAACATATGAAGACAACTCCTTATGAAATTCATCTTTCAAAGGAGGGATAATTTCATGGACATACATATTTATTTTAATATTTATCTATATGATTAAATAGAAATAAATAAAAATATATTTATTTCATTATATTTTCTAAAAAAACTTCTTAGAAATTTCATAGACGTTGCTTTGACTTTACATGTATTTGTAGTTGATTAATAGATTAGAAACTTGATCAACAAGTTATCCATAATTGGTAGTTTGGAAAACAAGCTAACTATATGGCGTATATATAAAAAACTTGCCTTGCAAGTTGAGATACATGTCTTGCAAAGTCAACATGTTTTGGAGGTTCTATAAGATATCACCACATAGTTCTTAATTAAGAGTATATATAAAGGTAAGAGCGAAGCCTTCTTCACTTTTGTCAACTCTTTTTTAGACTTTAGTCTTCTTTCAAGACTTTCTAATCTTCTTGTCTTTGGCAATAGCTATTTTAGTTAAACACCATATCACCTTTGAATGACTTTCTACTTCTTTTGAGTTACATAAGAATGTATTAAGGATTTTTTCTTTGATATTCATGTCTTTGATAGTAAATGTATTAAATATTTCTTTCTTTGAGATTCATGTCCTTGACAACAATCAAAGTTTAATAATAATTTTAAATCTTCCATGCTACCATAACTTACATGAAATAATTATCTAAAAACAAAGGCTAGGATTCAACAATTTTTAATAATATTGGTACCTTTATTGTTTGGCCCATCTCCTTTTGAATTATTTAAAAGATCTAAAGAAATCTTAGCAATTGTGCTCAAATAATTTTAGAATGACTTCACTCATTTGTTTATTTATTAAAAACAAATCCTAATACAAAACTTATATAATCTATTTCAATAAGCTACAAAGATATTGAAAGGAGCCAAAAGTGATCTCTATCAAAAGAAAATTGTAAGCATCTCTAAATCAACAAGAAAATAATTAGGCTTACTAAGATTTATTTAATTTTGAGTAAGTTGAGTGACAATGGAAGAAAAAATAAATAAATATAGAAATAAATATTTAAATAATATGTGCAAAGTTTATATTTATATTGGATATAAAAAACATTCAAAGATATGTTCAATAAAGAATTTACAATTGTAGCAACAATCACAAAAACCACAAAAAATTGTTCAATTGATTCTCTTTTATTTACTATTTACAATACAAAAAATTACTCTTTTGAGATATCAATATTTGATTTTTTAGCAATCGTAAGATAAATGGTTGCAAATATTAATAGTAAGCATGCTAATGCAAATAGAATTTGATCTTCTACTCATAGTTGAAGGCTTACAATTTATATTTAAAGAAGTGAGTGGAAGAAAAAGTAGTGCAAATAGATCCATTGTTGATGTAAATAGAAGCTTAAATTGAAAAGTGAGATTTGAATGGACAAATATAAGAAGAATTTACAAATATTTTAGTATTGAGAGAAATTTAAAATATATGGATATGGAAGACTTGCAAGAGTTGAAATAGAAAGGTATAAGAAGAATTGACAAATATTTTAGTATTAAGAGATTTAAAATATAGAAGTATGAAATACTTGCAAGATTTTGAAATTGACAAATATCAAATATTTGAAAAGGAGTAGAAATTATAAGAAATGTGTATTAATGTTAGTAAGTGCTTTATCACCAACTCATTGTGTAAGTCACAAAATTGACTCACTTTTGTATTTAGTTTTTAAAAAATGCACTTATGGTGCTTAAAATCATTAGTTTAGTGAGTTAATGTAGGAATTTTGAGATAGATAGCAAATAATAGAATGTCAATTGCAAGAATGTGACTCTTGCAAAGTTTTCTTTGAAGAAGAATTTCAACATAAATAGTTTCTCCCTAATTTAGCTAATATAAATTTTTGATTTTATAGGAGTAGTTTTATCGTCATTAAATATTTAAATTAAGTTGGAAGTTAAGATAGAATTCAAAACACCCCAAAAAGGATAAATAAATAAATAAATAAATAAAGACATTGATAGTTTAAACAATTAAACAGAATAGAGTGAATAGAGAAAAATTAGTTGAGATAGGAATATATATATATATATATATATTTTCATCGACCGGATAGATGCAGGCTGGATTTTCCAGAAGGCCGTTGGCGACTGGGTAGTTTTGGGCCCTGGCGGCATTCCTCCAATTTTCTTTGTTTTTGGTTTCTATTGTGTATTCTTCTGAAGAGCTCCACTTTAGGCGGATATGCGTTTTTCCTACTTTGTGTGAGCGGTGGCTGTGGTTGATACAGCATTCTGCCGTGTTGTTGTTTTTTTTTCTTCGCTAGACCTACTGCGAGGTCAATTCGCTGTGGATTCGGGCATCAATGTAGTATTTTTATTTATTTATTTATTTATTTTGTTGCGTTTGATTGGCGGCTCAACTAGGTAGGCAAAGACTTGGTGTTGAGCGGGCTCCGCGTTGTTATTGAGTGGAGCGACTACAGCCTTGGTCATTGGTGTAACTGGAACCTTAAATCTCATGTAACTGGATTAGCTGGATTCAAAGATTCGACAGCCGTGGTCTTTGGAACAAGTTATCATTTTTTTTTAAAATAATCATGTAAAAAAGGTGTGGATGTTGTAGTAATGGGCGTGGCCATAGTCACTGCCTTTTGAATACAGTAGAGGATTGTCATGTGCCATAAAAAAAAAATTATAATGTTTAAAATAAATAAATAAATAAAATATTTAATTGATATTTTTAATCTCTATATGTTATACACTTTTAATTATACATTTTAACTTTAATGTATCAACTATAGCATATAATAAATAAATAAATATATATATATATATATATATATATATGTATGTATATATTACAAGTTAATTCAATTTTTCCAAGCACAAAGTGAACATAAATTAATAAAAACAAAAACAAAAGTAAAATATTTAAGTGTATATATTAAAGATATTTTGTTGTTATACAAATTACCATTGAATAACAAGATAAGAAAAAATTAGATAATATTGGAGGATCTTTCTGTTTTTAAGTTTAAGTTGATAGATATGCTTCAAAATTTAAAATGTTTACCAAATAATTGAAAAAAAATATTCATAAATTTTATAATACTTATTTTATATATATATATATATATATATATATATATATATTCTTATAGGAATAAATATTGTAAAGATAAATAAGCCTTCTTAATAGCCACGTAGTACATTCATATTAAGTGAAGTTCTTTTATAATTACCTTAAATGTATGCATGTAATAAGGAATTTGCATGGACGGAGAGAGAATCTATGCAAGTACAAAAAAGAAACAAGATAAAATAAAATAAAAACCAAGTATGAAGAAGGAATTATGTTTAGGATAGAGAGGGTGTTCACGCATACTAGGTGCATCCGAGTTATCTATGTATAGAAATGTAAAAATCAAAATATAACTACCAAGGTAGTGTGTTCTAAAATTTTATTGAGGTAATAAATTTGTCAAAGTTATTGTTGGAGTAATAAACTTAACATGTATTATTCCTCAGACTGATCACCCAAAAATTTCCAGTCGGGGCAACGCTTGTTTCGGTTTCAACTCGCACTATTAAGTAATAGTGATTAAACTATCTATAACACGCAAAAAAACACCTCAAAACTTTGATCACATTGGCTACATCTACGAATCAAAAACCCGACTCTTTCAATTTTATTATAGTCTATTTTGCAATTTTTGTAAAAAATCCATGTATCTATTTATTAAATTGTAATTAACTAGACTGCATGGATTTTCCAGAAAGCATGTAATTGTATCTGCAAAGTCTGCAGGTCGTTCGCGGCGTTGATTACGCACATGCGAGGAGTTACTATCCCGGCGACTCTAGACGACAACGCCGGTTCCAGTTGCCGAAACGTCCATTCATCTAGAATCGCCAAGCTTGATAACCATCATAAAAGCGTCACAGGAAGATCCCAGGATCGAGAAAAATCACATGTCTACCAGGAGTTCTGATGTAAGCAACACCGGTTCGACGCTTAATTCCAGGCGACCAGAATGCAGTCACCGCAACAAGCTCCAGTGCAGGCGCGTAATGACAGAGTACATCAATGGTGGAGCGATGACGATCGCCACCGCTTCTAATGTACACACAAAATAATAATGCAACCCAGGTGTCGATCTATGCTCCGATCCATGCGAACTCTACATCGCCATGTTGCGGCGTATGACTGGTGGGTTTCATTCGGCGGTGCCAGTCTGATCTGGCAACTTTGCTAGTGGCAGATTTTCACGATCGGTGACCTAAGGGACATGAATACATTACCAACGTGGTCGTTGGATGTTTTCTGTACACTACCCAATGATCTTCTGCTGCTGATGTCGACTCTCCGAGACCTAGATCTCTGGTGTCGCATTACGAAATGGAGTAAGCATTGCTGCCCCAGTTAAGGATTTATCCCTCTAGGTTTTCGGAGGGGTCGATCAGCTGCGGAGGAGGAGGAGGGCTTGGAAATACGGAATGGCGGCATGCTTTCGGGACCCGCCATAGATCAGAAGCGTTCACCGTCGGAGGAAGAGACGCCCTGCCTTCCCAGTCATTTAATGCCAGTCGCAGGTCCTGGACCTTGTTGTTCAAGCCCGTACAGCAATTTGCGTGCATGGTTACGACTTTCGATATGTTCTTACTTTTCTGCTGAACAAAGCAATTGATTGGTCTGTGAGTACACGAGCCGACTTCGCTGGTAATTGAACTCAAGTGAGACACGATTGATGGCCTGAATTAGCGATTAGCTATACAAATACCTGGCAGAAGCCCGAGAAATAGTCAGTTTGCAAGAACCTAACTTCGACTTTGAAAGCGGCAAAATCTTGACCTTTAAGCATCACGGTCAGCAGCGACTGCTCGTCGATGTCCGGATTATCGTCTCCGCCTTTGCACCAGTGCCTGTACATCGCAATGGTGCGCTCATTCGATCGGGCATACTGGAAGCCGCAATTGGGCTTATTTCGCAGCGACCAGGCATTACCTCGGTTCTTGTCGGAAGAAATCTGGAAATCAGTATTGTTCGCAAACCGCTCAAATGGGTTTCGAAACCATAGGATATCTGCGTCCTGTGAGTTGATAGGTCACAACATGCTCTAGTTTAAGCGTGGAATCAATGCAGTACCCAATGAACAAACACAAAAATCGCAGTAATTTTGACTTTCAATCGGCCACATTAATGCGCAATTGTACTGGAGAAATGACAAGGCTAGTGATCATTGCCAGTGATGACACACACCCAGTGAGACCAGAGATACTGAAATGATTGAGTTCATAGGACTAACGGTGAAAACGAAGTTGTATCCCATCTCCAGGATAGTCCGCAACAATCGCATGCGCCTCCACATCATTTTCAAAAAGTCCTTGCTCATGAACCCCTTGTTGCCACTGAAATCGACGCCCTTCGTCTTCAGCATCAAGCAGTGATTGTGGAGTTCTTGGCAGCGATCATAGGACGTTTGATCGAGCGCCACGATGACTAAGTGATTCAGGAGAAACTGGATGTTCTCGCCCTTGTGGAAACTTTCCAGAAATATGTCAATCATGGTGTTCTTCGCCGCCCACGCTTGGTTTAATGTAGTGATTATGACTGTCTTGTCCGGCGTCGAGGCGGTGGCTAACATTGTTCTCAAGGCAGCGTCCTCACTCTCTTCTTTAAAGCCTGAGCTCGCCTCTAAAACGTCCGTGCCTGTTTCTGAGGCATTAGAGCCCGCTTCGTCGTCAACGGTCGACTGCGACGCATCGCTCTACAAAGTGCAGACAATAAAAATAAGAAATCCATTCGGGCAAGGGCGGGGGAGAAAGTAAGAATCTGTATTTTCTAGCAACGTTTGCTGAAGAAAACCCCCATTGCAACGTCATGACAGTATTTGCGTCGAAGAGCGAGGGTACATCCTACAAAGTCTGCTGTGTGAGCGAGAAAGTCAAATAGGAGAAGTTGGCTTGCCTGCTCCGACACTGTGTACGTCTGATAGACCAAATCATTGCCTGCAACGAGGTTGGAAATTCCGCACAGGATTTGGTTTGCTGACGGCTGGTAGCAGAGTAACAAATAAGACAAAAACAATAGAGTGATCGTCACGGCCGTAGCAGCGACGACAGTGATCTTCGACTTCATGATCCTTCGCTTACACTATTGCTCGCAATCCAAATGTCGCACACCAAATCTCTGTCAATCCTGGTCACAGCGCAAAATGGCAACAACATAGCGGAGCAATCCCCATCCCAGCAGCCGCACCAACGGCAACAAGTACTCACATGTCCACAGTTGAAACAATGGAAAGTAGCTCTGAACCCAAGTCAACCACGGGTGGACTGCACTAAGCCAGCTGCAGTGCCCGTGATTCTCCGGATCGATCCAGCAATCCATGCATCGTGCTGGCCGACGACGAGGTGAACAAGTGGCCCCAGGCAGCACCCTCAGGGTGGCTGCGCCTTCATCCTCCCTGTGCGCCATGCTCGGCTGGAATTAGGGTTCACAGTGGAAGTTTGAGATTCAAACTGCTTTTGAACTATATTTTAAAGAAGTTTCCAGAATGAATAAATTAAAACTACAATTTTGATTTAATTTTTTAACATAAAAAAAAAAATCACCGCTCCGTATTCTTATTTTAAACTATCATCATTAAAAAATACTGTTTAAATAGAAAATAAAATAACGGAAACAAAATCACTGTAGTTTAAGAACTATTTTTTTAAATCTAATATAACCAGAAAAAATACTTTTTAAAATTCCAAGTTTAGTCTTTAAATTAAGAATAGACCGATAAAGAAATACAAAAAACCAAACTCAAACCTAACAAGATTCACAATATCTTATATGTTTTAATTCATATAATTCAAAATAGTCTTGAAACATGAAAAAACATATCTTGACAAAATAAAATATATTATATATTATTATTTTTTAAAAATACACTTTAAAAAAAACAGCTGTAAATGCATGTATTGGTTTTTAATTTATTAGTCAAGACACATCAATAATTTTTAATATTTAAAAAATAATATGGTACAGAGGTTGTTGTTACAAGTTTTTTGGCATGCGTAATGAAACATTCTTCAAAAAATTATTAATACATTTCAGAATATCTATATTTTCATATATTTAGATATTTAATTCTTATGATTTTTTCATTTTAATTTTAATTTTTAAAATTTTCTTAGGCTGAAAACGTATCAGTATAGTTGTAAATTAAGCCTAACACATGTATATAAAAAAAACATACATATTACAAAAAAGAAAAGAAAGAAACGAAAGAAAAGAGAAAAAGTATCATGACTATTATTCAGAAAGCATGAAGAATAAAGAAATCTAAGAGGATGTTACAACTTTAAAATATGATTTTTACTTTATTATCTTCTGCTCTTGAATAATATTAGTTACAATAAAATATAAAAATACATTCTGCATCAGATGTATAGTAAATTTAATGAAAAGTATTAACTGAAAATGAACATGTACATGCGGATGCACATCCTCATCTCGGGGGACGAGCTCAACGCTGTAAAAGCGACTCCCTCAGTCCATGATCGCTGCCACCCGCGCTTCATCGTTGTTCGACTAGTCAATTCACCATTCACCGACCCTCCTCGTTGCGTGGAGCAGTTCGAAGCTCTAATAACGAACTCTCGTCTTCCCAAGCCTTGCCGAGTGAAAAACAATCAGCGAGCGCGCCGGGGAAGTTGTGGCAGTGCAATAGCGAGCAATTAACGGATGCTTGTAGTGATTCCTGGGCGATCCAGGATTGGAAAACCAGCGGGGGTAATGGCTTAGTGAACGCCACTTTCATCGCGATGTGGAGCTGCATCCTGCAGAATCTGCTTTAAAATTAGCGGCGACTGGAGAGTTAACGAGATCTGCGCTTTTGAAGCCACGCTTCTCACATAATACACGTACACATGTACCCTCTCACATAACACACACATGTGCTTTCCTTCAAATACACCACCCTCAATGTAAGAAGCAATCTTGATTGGATTTTGTGGGCCAAACTCAAGTCCCCTTTCTTTCCTTTGACTTCTACTTCAACTCTGCATCTTTCAATTCTATATTTCATTCAACCAATCAATTAAAGAGATGCTCGAAAAATGCCTCAAGCAATCAAATAATTGACAAGTGTCTAATAAGTAGTGTTTTGCACAATATAGATTTTACTTGTCAATATTACGGCACAAAATTAAAAAATGTGTTTTTAAATATTAATGTATTACTATAAAATAAATTTATTAACACAATAAAATAAAAATAATCTTTTTTAATACAATAAAATTATTAGAGATCATCTTTATATTAGAAAAAGTATATATATATATATATATATATATATATATATTATTAAAATTGATTATTGAAAGTATTCATGAAGAAGATAGAACTTATTACAACAAGTTATAAGTTTTTGAGGTTTAGGGTATTAAATTCACAATAATACATAGATAGATATCTAAGTTTAAAAGTCTACATTACAAGTAATTTCTATTTATAAATTTTTATTTTGGTGGTAAATGTAATAAATATTTAAATCACTTAAATAAATAGAAATATGTTAAATATATAAATATATTATTTAAAAAATCTTAAATATACATTAAATTTATTATTTGTTCTAAATATGATTTATGACTAAAGAAATTTTTCTTTAAATCTCCTAATTTTTTTAAAAAATAAATCTTTGGAAGTAATCTACAACTTGGATGATTATTCTATAAGTCTTAAGATTCTTATGAAATTTATACATATTTTTCTTTATATCTAGAATATGTATGTATGTATGTATGTATATATGTATATATATATATATATATATATATATATATATATATATAGATAAAAGACTAAGATCATTCTTAATTTTTTTAATACCTTTTTTATTCTAATATTAATTCAAAGCTCTATAGTTTCTTTATATTTGGTAGTGCTCATTATAATTATTTTTCTTTCTTATGTTTATATCTCTTATTTATTTATAATTATATTTTTATTATTTATTTATTAATATAAGAAGTATGGCTATCAAAAAAGATAATATGTGATTTTATTTTATCTAATTATAATAAGAATTAAGCAAGTAGGATATTCTATAATATATAATAAAGATTTTATATTCTCTTTAAAATATTTATTTTATTTTATAATAGATGTTTGTTTAGGACCTAAGCATCACAAAGCTTCTTCCTTGCTAGATTCAAAAAGTTCAACTTATTTTTTAGATAAAGATTTGTTGAAAGATATATCATACCTTTAGTAAAAATAAACTAAATTTGTAGTAGTAAAAGTCATAAATGATTATTTATTGTCCTTCAAAGTTGTTATAAAATCTTTTTTATAAATGTAGTAACAAATGGTTATAATAACATTTTGGTATTCAACATAATTAGATCTTTTGTTAATTCAATTATTTTATATTTATCATGGCCAAAAAAAATATAATCTTTAGATAGGTTATATTTTTGTAGTTTTTATTTTTTAAAAAAATATAAATAAGAGTTCTTTTAATCAAATAAAATGTTATAATTCTAGTACAATTAAACACTTATTTCTAGGTGTAAGAACTTTTATGCATGCTATAAAAAAAGAATCATCTTTTGTTATTTATGCCACACTTATTTTTAATTGTAGAAAGACTTTAAGTAGCATTTTAAGCCAATATCAAAATATTTAAGATATTTTTGAAAAGAAAATGTTGATAGTCTTTTAACTATCTTCTTTATTATTACTTAGTTGACCTTCAAGAGGGAATTGAACCACTACTTAGACCAATTTATAATTTATTATAAATAAATTTATTAGACTAATTAAATATATTCATAAAACTTAGTCAAAAATTTCATATGCCATTTAAAATTTCATATGAAAGTTCTTAGCTTGTTTATGAAGATAAAAAAAATGAATTACTATAGATATATAGATAACCATTAAAAATAGATATCATCTATCTCTAATATCCAGATTCTTTGATCAATTGAATCAAGCTAAGATCTATCCAAAAATAGATATGTAGTAAATATACAACTTAATATGCATAAAAACAAATAAATAAGTAAATAAAATATAGAAATTTTGAATATAATATCATGCTTTTTGGACACATTATCAAGGACGGAAATCTAAAAGAAAAAAAATCTCAATACATTCTTGTTTTATTCAAAAAAACTAAAAAATTACTTAAAGATAGAAATATATTGAACTTAAATGGCTATTGCTTAAGATAAGAAGACTAAAAATAGTCTTAAAATAAGGCTAAAGACTAGAAAGGCATTGACAAGAGTGAAGAAGATTTTACTCTTGTTTCTATATATACTCTCTAATTAGGAGCTATGTGACAATCTTTTATAGGACTCTTTAACCTTATTACTTTCATAATTAAGCAATTTTGATTTTTTTTTATAAAATCTAATCTTAATTAGTCAGCTTCAGCAAGTTATAACTTCCAATCTAATTATCTAGTTGGTGCAAAATTTTACATAAAAATACCACTAAAAGTCTTTTACATATTCAATATTTTTTTAATCTAATCCAAATTACTCATTGTAAAAAAACATTCAAAAAACCACACTAATATTACTTGGCTGCCAACTTAATAGTTGATGCACATGTTCTAGTAGCAATTTCTCCTTCTCTAAATATAAACTTACTTCAAAATTGGTGTGTAGCTTGATCTTCAAGTCTTCTAAGACTGTGTCAAATTTCATCTTGTGTTAATAAGTAGATCTTTAAATATCATAGGAACTCTATCCAATTCCAAACTACCAACTTTTGATACCTTCTTGTACCAAAAACTAGATATCTTTCAACAACATCTTAAGATTAATACAAAATTATATACATACTTAGTACACCAAATTAATCAAGCATTATCATATTTTGAATCACAGATGTAAGACCAATTGCACAAACTAGTTGACAGTGCTAGCCCTAATTCTATTCTATTAAGTCAAAGTCACTAATATAAATCTTAACTTTGAACAATAATTGTAAAATTATTCCAAATCTTATGAAAATAAGCCTTATGCCTTTGAAGCAAGTTTAAAGCTAATTTTATAATGATATAAATGATAATCAATAAAAATTACTTGTTCACAATCAAGAAAAGATTCAATTTTACAATAGTCCAACTTGTCACAAGAATGAATAGTCTTGATATTACGACAAAATAACCATACCTTATTATCCTTATTGAATTATGGTTTTTCCTTGCAATAGGCATCTGCATTGATCTTTTATTATTTTTGAGCTTCTTTTAAGTATGCCTTTGTTGTTGCATATAGTTTTCATAAAAGATTTGCTAAATCTTCTCCTACAAGATTATCAACTTCTAAAAAGTCTAAAAAATCAAGTCATGGATTATAACCATAATTGGTAAAAGAAA